GCTTGTACAGACGGGTGTTTCTGAGGTGTCGATCTGTGGCTGCTGCGCAGCGCGGAGTGCCCCCTGTGCAAGCGCAGCCTGCGCGGCGTCAACGCCAGCTGTAACTGCTGACGCGGCAGACGAGGGACCAGCCTTGGTGGCCGGCATGCTCGTAATAGGCCGAAAAGCTTTTCTTTCTCATCTTCCTCCTGTTCCTCTTCATTTTCCTCCGCGCGTGCATCCCCGTCCAATGTGGCGTCCATGCCCCGCGATCGCCACCCGTTCTTGTCGTAGGCTTGATTGATGTCCGCGTCTTCGCCATCGTCGTGGTCGTCGTTGTACCTCGCGAGCATGGCCGTCCTGCAGGCAGGATGGGAGTAGCGACGACCGCCACGGCTCCCATCACTTTTCGTCGTGTGTCGTCGGTGCGACTGTCATCGTAATTAATGATGCCAGGCTTCGATGTTTGCTGCTGCTGTCGCTGCTCAAGGACCTAGCGCGCATCACCCCCATTCCACCCTCTTGCCCGCGAGCACCCCGAAGAGGCCTGGCAGCGATGGGTGCTAACAAGGTCCCAGGGTGGACAGCAAGCACCGCATGGATCAGGGTGCAGACCAACCTTCTGTTTCTTCTTCCGAGGAGGAGGATTTGGCAGGAGGGAGGAGGAGGAGGAAGAGGAGGAGGAGGAGGAGGAGGAGTAGGAGGAGGAGGAGGAGGAGGAGGAGGAGGAGGAGGAGGAGGACGAGGAGGAACAGGAGGAGGAGGAGGAGGAGGAGGAATAGGAGGAGGAGGAGTAGGAGGAGGAGGAGGAGGAGGAGGAGAAGGAGGGAAGATGAGAAGGAGTTGGAACAAGAGGAGCAGGATGAGGGACGAGCAGGAGAGAAGAGCAGGAGAAGGGGGAGAAGGAGGAGGAGGAGGAGGAGGAGGAGGATTTTTGGATTGCACGCGCGATGAACCTGTGACGGCTGTCGCGAGAGAGTGGCGCTGCAGCTAGCAGAAGCTTTAAAGATCAGTCAGCTAGCAGAAGCTTTAAAGATCAGTCAGGCAGGCCGGCTGAACTAAAAGACATTAATCTGCACGGGCACCAAGTGGGGCAAGGTCAGCACAGCACGAGCGCCCCCCGCATCAGAGCGGACGGAACGCGTCGAAACAAGGCATATAGATCGTACCTCCCCCCCGCTACTAACATTACTAACCCGTCCACCCGACCTATAGGAGGCGGGCCGCACGTATGGCGACCTAACAGGGACAGTATCGCAGACTCGCAACCGTGGTCAGTGAGACAATCAGAAGGCGGCGGTCCTGCGACAGACTTCTTTTGGCAGCGAGCCTCGCCGGCCCTTCTGCCCTCCCTGCTACCCCATCCTGCAAGTGCGAGCAAAGAGGCATCCGTGCACCCGCCCTGCTACCCCATCCTGCACGGGTGGAGGCGCAACCTGGCGGCGGGCGCGACGACGACGACGCCGGAGAGCCCTGCCACGGGCCAAGCGCTACGGGTGCTTGGTTTGGTCGCGGCTCGACCCCCGAGACAGGACGGTGGGGGAGGGGAGGAAGACGCTCTCTCGGAGGGGAGGAGGCGAGGAGGCGCTCGCTGCTACACTGCCGCGCCGCTCGCTCGCGCTGGGCGGCGGGGGCGGCGGGGGCGGGCGCGCGGCGGCGGGGCGGCGGGGGCGCGCGCGCGCGCCCCGCTCTCTGCTCTCGTCCACGTCCGTCGTCGCCCCCCCCATCCTCCACTCCTCCAGGGCGGCGCGAGCCACAGCGGCGGCCGCGCGAGCTTCTCAAGCCTGCAGCGCTCTCAGGACAAACGACCGAAGCCTGTCACATCTCACGCCGAGGGCGAGCAAGTGAATGGCTAACCATGGGCATACTCCTCTTCCAGAGGGCGCATCTGGGCAAGGGGCTTCGGGGGCCTGGAGGCGTTTGCCAATGGCAGCGGCCATCTAAGGGACATGGGTGAAATAGACAGTGATCAGCCATGCACACGGGCACAATGGGATCTGCAATCTCGAGACGGGCAAGCCAACGCGCGATACTGGCAGAAACTATCGTCAGCTTGCAAGAACCATAGCACCATCCACAGGCTGTCTGGTAGCATTGCTACGGCAAGGGACTGGCAACGGAGTTGGAGAGTGGGGGCAATCCCACACATGTAACCTTCAGCGGTGAAACACACACCATGCCCAAGACCTGTGTGAGAGAAGCACTAGTGGGCCACGGGCTGACGAAGGTGCCATAGAGGAGTGCAATCGGGAATGGGGCAGCGGGGTGCACTGACAGGAACACTGTAAACCCAAACCACCTCCCTCCTCTCGTCATCACCTGAAATCCCACTCGTTGTGCAGCGAGCGCCGTTAAACCTGGGACACGTCCAGAATTCCGGCTCCGAAACCAGGCTGGAACGTCCAGGGAGCGATGCGCTGAGCGAGCCGACGACGGCGTCGCTCTCGAGCCTGTGCTCGGTTCGCCGCAATCCGCGCACGCATCGCATCAGTCAACTCGACGGGCTGAGGCGGGGGCGGAGGGGGGGCAGGGGGCGAGGCAGGCTCAAACGGTGGCTCGGAATCCCCTGGCTGAGGGGGCACGGTGCCATCGAGGAACGCTAGAGCATCTGCGTATTCCTGATCGTCCGAGGCCTCGATGGGCCCCGGGGCGCGGGCCTCAGCCTCGGGGCCAAAGACAACTCCAGGCATGGGCTGAGAGGGCGACTGCGGCTCGGGAGGCAGGAACCGATGCCGCTCGGGATCCGCCCGAGACCGCCTAGCACGCCCCGAAACAAAATCTGGAGCCCAGGACTCGTCCGTACCGACATACGGGTCCCACGAGACGTAAAAAGCTGCAAGCGACCCACGGAGCTCCTCCTCCTCCTCCCTCATGTCCTCTGGCCAATCATGCTCGGCACACGTCGCGCGCATATGATTGACTGCGTCCATTATGCTGTCTGCGAGGACTTGACATAGGGCCGGAGGGTCGGTTTTCTTCTTGGCCGTGCGCCACTCATCACGTTGCTTGTCGAACCCCATGAGTACCTCGTGGGCCCCACGTCCGTAAAAAAAACAACGGCCACGCCCAGGTCTCTCGCGCAGGCGTCCGCGCAGTGTACCCATGCGCAGTGCGAGTATTCTTGTCGGCGCTCGTGCAACCTGACCGTGTTCGCACTGATCGAAGTCGGTCGCCGACGCTGCTGGGGATGCCATAACGGCCCGTAAGGGCGGGCAATAGAAAGAACTAACCGAGTCGGGTCGCCAGTGCGCAGGCATAGGATGTTCCATCCAGCATGAGGTACCGACGGTGAGGTGCACGGCGAACAGTTCGATCATCGCCCCTAGTAGCTCATTTCCCACACGCAACTGCTCCATTCGTCGGGGAGTGACGGCCAGCGAACCCCTGAAATCGGCATGGGACCGAAGGGGGGGGGCCCTGCATCAGGGGCCCAACGGATAGCGGCCCACGTCTCACAGGGTGGCTCGCCGCCTGACAAGACAACTCGCCTGGCCCGTATATGCTCCTTCCATACCTCCAGCGTTTCACGGCGCATCGTGTTACCTAGTGCTGGGTCGGTCGCGATATCGATGGATGAGACCGAAATGGTGAAGTCGGTGTGATACTCGGTCCATTCGAGGCAGGCCTGGATGTCACCAGGCCGTCGTCGGCCACAGTGCAGGTTGAGAGCGAAATATTCCGACCGTCGGATAGCAATGGGCAAATCCTGAGCAGCAATGTCGGTAAACTGCTCGGTCAAGAACATTCGCGTCGGGTAGCGCTCGTGGGAAGCCGGTGGTGGTTGGGCTGGCTCAGGGGCATCTTCGTCGGCCACATCGGGCCGTGGTGGAGGCAGGAGTGCGGCGCGCGCCTCTGGAGTGAGATACGGGTCGCTTTCCAAGAGGGCTTGACGGGCATATTCCTGAGACACCAACGCGGCTAGGTCGGACGCAAGTTCGGTGATGGGGCCTGGCGTCCGAACTGTGGGTACCACGACGTGGCGACGAGGGATGTGGACGTTGGTGGTATGTCCACGTGGTAGTGGCGGACGGGCTGGTAGCTGTAGGTGGTAGGCCGGATTGTCCATAGCCAGCGCAGCAGCCAGCAAGCAGCGAGGCGAATCGATCGACAGATGATCCACTAAGTGCGGCCGTGCATTGTACCTGAGCAGACATGTCTGACAGACCCCAGACGGGTTGGCATACCCACGTGCAAGTGTAGTTAGTTGCCTATGTGCGCGGGCCACGCGTGTGCGCAGCGCCCGATGCCGTGCAAAGGTCTGCCCACGCCAAGGGCAATCCATGCTAAAGTGCTGGGGCAGGCGGTGGCGGCGGTATAATAAGTCCACGTTCATCGGTGTATACCCGAGGGGGCACTCCCGCAGGGCGTACTTCATTCAAGAAACGGGACTCCATGTGGGCTGCTAGTGTGCTGCGCGCCGTGTGCTGTGTATATGCATGCACTCCGATCCGGATGATGCGCTTCCAGGCGGGTTGGCTGCGTCGTATGAGGGCCCCCCACGGTTGTAGATCCTCCTTGGGCGGGGGTAGATCCTGACATTGTTTACCGGCAAGGCGCAACCACGCAAGATCCTGCAACCATTGTCCAAGGGTTGTGCGACGTCGTTTCATGTCGGTGGAGGCTGCATGCCACTCAGCGGCCACAATCGAAAAAGGCCAACAGAGGTCCTGTATGAAAGAGTGAACCCAAGAGCCGGAGTCGTGCAGCACGCAGTAGGATAGCAGGGGCAGGCCTGCGTAACCTAGCAAGAACCAGAGCGTCGGACACCTGAGACGCGTCCTCGCAATACCGAACACGGGCAGCTGCGCGATATACCTTCATAGTTTCACCATGTGCCAGCTTAGCCTCGGCATCTGAAAGGACGGGCCACGCGCCAGCGTTGTATAGTCGTCCGGACAGAACAAGGCTGTCGGCAAGCACGAGCCCATGGGCGAGATCTAGGTCGTCCGTGGCAAAAACGCGGCGACGAAGTACCTGTAGGGACGAGACAGTGGTGGCAGCGCGGTAGCGAATCTCGGGCGCCATAGCAGTGCCTGCATCGAAGACAGACCCAAGATGCACGTAGTTATGTACGATCGGCGCACGAAGCGGTCCGAGTACGTCCGATACGCCACGAATGTGCCCATCATGCTCGTGCCATGCCGCATGCCGCGCACGCTTGATACCGTGTCCACGCCACATAATGAGCGCTGCTGTCTTGGAGGGTCCGAGGTTCAAGATATGGCCACACCGTGCAAACGCGTCCGAGACAATGACCAGGCATCTGGATAGGGCCCCATAAATCTGGTCGGCGGGCATGATGAGGATCACGGTGCCGTCATCTGCATATGAGATATCGACCAAAGGGAGCTCTGCGGGGGGCCTGTCATCGGGGTCCTCGGCGGTGAGCGCCGTGAGGGATCTCTGGGTGGCCTTCGGGAGCATGTAGGGATAGTCAGCGGCCAGCAGCTTTTCACGCACCTCCTGCATACACTCGGCCATCTGGATCTCAAAGAGCACATCAGCGAGAGGTTGGCCGGGGAAGAAGGAGCGTTGGGGGAGCGAGACCTGTCCGGACCCTTCACACACGAA